ATCAGAACACCTGCCGTCAGGTGAGCGCTGTCGCTCTGCGGCACTTGTTATCATTATCATGGCGACACAGCACACTCGCAGCGGCGAGTGCGGGAGCAACTTCAATTATTTTATGAAGGAAAGTTGATATACAGTGACACAACAATGGAACTGTAATTGTCAATTGAGAGGTAGGGCCTACGGTAGTATTTGTGAATGTGCGTTCATATTATTTTCGGTTTTTATTGACTCTGTCCCAAGTGCCTGTTGTGCTAGTGCTATAGATAGCACAGGCACTTGGACCGTTTCAATAATAAAATGATGGTTAATAAATACAACTTGTCAGTACTACTACTAGCCCTACCATGCAGTACCAGTACCAGTAATAGTCTTAATGTTTGATTTGACCTAATAACTTCATTTCAACACCGTCCAATACATCAATGCAACACATAGTGCGCACGCCCTTGTGCATGCACAAATACACAGTGATAGAGAGTATCTCTTATCTATTATCCAAATGTTGTTATATGTAAATGACGATGAGTTACAGTGAAAGTGAAATACATAATAATTATTTTATTTTTTTCCCGATAGATTTTAACAAGTAATAACAGCAGGATATCATGAGAATCTACAGACGCTGCCTGCTCAAAATTGGTGCCTTGCTGGCACTGGTCATGCTGGCCATACCATTCATTCTGCTGTTACAGGACCACAGTAATAAAAAACCTAGCAAAAAGACTGCTTTGAAAAGTGTGGACAAGGTAATTCATCGTACTTGAAATATGACACAAGAGAATATGTATAGGCCGTTCATTCATACACGTGGTGCTGTTTGTTGTCTGTATCTGTGACAGATCACAGAGAATTGGTGAAACAAATCTGGTACGACTAGTGTAGCAGAGCTTCTGTGCCTCGGACAGACACAATTGTCAAAAATGACTAGACTTTATTTCTCGTGTATTACATGATAGATAATAAATATACATATTATATATCAGGGTAGAAATTAAACATATTTACAAGTTCGGATGTGAAATTTAACTAATCAGTTATAAATGATCTATATATATGTATCAGTATGAGACAAAGCTACAATTTTAACTGCCATTGTAACACCAATAATTTCATGTTCTAATTTCATGTTAACTTGTTGTTAACGTGAAATTTTCAATCTAGGAATGGCTTTTTAATACTCCTATATGGATTTATCTTTGTCTCATGCAGCACCTGCATGTGATCTCTACCATAAGTAATGCAGTCTTAAAGCCAGGAATATTAGGAAACTATGAACCACCACCTGTGCATCGAGAGCCATCACCGGGAGATGGAGGCACAGCAGTGAAGACTGACATGAGCTCAGCTGAGGTTCGAAATGGCATCCGGCAGTATGGATTTAACATGGTAGCCAGTGACAAAATATCTCTAAACAGGACAGTACCTGACACACGAATGGACGAGTAAGTCTTGCGATATCGACACGTATATATGTATGTATATATTATATATATATATATATATATATGATCATATTTATTTAAAAAATTGACACCTCATTCTATTTTTAAATGCATATTTTATTTTATATACTAATACCGATATATATACTATATACTATAGTACTAGTATAGTATAATATATACTATACTAGTATATATAGGAAATACTAAGTAGTATAGTACTACGATA